TATATATATATATATATATATATATATATATATATATATATATATATATATATAAGAGAGAGAGAGAGATAGAGAGAGAGAGAAATGGGTATGCTTGGTACCAAGAACAAAAAATTGTGCTTGGTAGTGAGATGGCATAATCCGCTTCACTCATTCAAATGGTTGCATATCCCCATGTACTGCTCAACTCATGTGAATGTGGTCCCCCATTTGAATGAGTGGAGGGAATTGTGCCACCTCACTACCAAGCACAAAATCTGTGCAAGCATACCCATATTTCTCATATATATATATGACTAATGCATGTCGTCTGCGGATTTGCAAGCACAAGCCAAAGTTTGTGTGAAATGTCTAACAATTCTGCTCCAATGAATGTGTGAAGAATATCAAGATATAACAAGCTGCTCAAAAGGAAAATTGCATCTCTCTTTAGAGATGGCTTATGTGCAGCAGAGCTAACCTAGTAGCGACAACAACAATAGTGCCTTTCATTGAGTTCCACCTTTCCTGAATGACCCTGAGAGCCGTGGTTGAGCATGGAACATGTTGATGTGGCCTCGCAACTTTACTGATGGTCTCCACTAGGAAAATTTTCAGGTAAAGGATGGAACAGGCTAACAAAGTTATTGACACCTATAAAAATTGGCATTTAGATGAGAAAATCATGACAAGATATTGAACAGTGCTGAAAGTTTAGCCTACTGATTGAGCATTGCCACAAGCTGCAAAACTAACAAAGGAGATGGTGATTAGCAGAGACTTCTGGAGGAAAAGGATTCATGTTATATATTTAAATATCTAACATTTTCTTCCCATCTGATATTCATCAACTTAAAATTTCTGTGGAATCGATTTTCCAACTGAGATACACTGCTCAAATGCATGAATAAACATAATCGAATGTTTCCTCAAGAAATGATATAATTGATCTCATAACTGGGGACGTATTTCAATTACATGGTTGTTTCACTTGAAACAATGGTGTACCTCGAATATCCATCCTTCTGGAAGAAACCGTGCTAAGACATTTCCCAGCACATGCGAAGCAGAGAAAAGTCCAGTTATCCATCCAAATGCTGAAGCCCTTTTACTGCTTTCCACCACATCTGCCTACTCAAAGCATAGAAATTTATTAAATGGGCATACTACTTGCAATGAGGAAAAGATAAAACAGTAACCAAAAAACATTATTTGCGAGAAGCGAAGAAAGGAACTTGTGGAGAATCAACTCAACAAAAAAGAATGAACATCTCTTACCGCATAAGCAACTGAAATGCAGAATATGCTTCCTTGACTGATGATTTGTGAAATTGTACGAAGAACAAAGTACGCATACACAAAAGCTCTTGACTCGTTCCAAGCAAGTACAGCTAACAAGAATCAGATTTAGAGTGTCAGATTAGTGTCAAGTTAGCACCGCATAAGCTACTACAAGAACTACATGGTTCCTAATATTAACTTGATATACAAAGTCCACTAGCTGGAATCATTATACACTACAATTAAGGAAAACTAAGCCAAATATTTAAGTATACCCAAGTACGTGGAGGGCTTCTTCTAGCAAATCATGCAAGTCTAAATATGATGAAAGCCACAAGAGCCCACAACAAAATGCTCTTGTGGGTTGTAAATGACAATAACCGTCCTCGCCCTCTGCAGTTTTTTTTCTACAGATGAAATTGTTGAAGTATAGGAGAAACTCATACTACATAATTCGAACATTGCAGATTTCAAATTGACGGTCAAATGCTTAGCAGATTGATCTAATTGGTAGAACCATACCAAAGGGGACAATGGAAGTTGAAATAGTAATAAGAAGCAACGGTTTACGCCCATAATCATCAGCAAGCTGACCCAATACAGGAAGCACCACCATTTTAAAAACTCCAACAACCTACAAATGGATCGTTATTGGACTACGGTAAGTATTAGATGCAACCGAAACAAAAAAGGAGAAATTTAGAAGACCATCCGACTACAAAAAAAATTCGCAAAAAACGACATCTTCTAAAAATAATTGTCAAAACCGACCCAGTTTCTTCAGCCCAATTACTGAAACTAGGTCCAGGTCGGTTTTGACAATTATTTATAAGAAGATGTCGTTTTTTACGATTTTTTTTTTTTTTTGTAAATCGGATGTTTTTCAAAATTTGTCCCAAAAAAATTGAACGATACAAAGTAAACACGAACTTTAAAAAAAAAAATGTTAGCTAAGAATATTCCGTAAAATCCTAGTTCCCCAAAATTACCCCATAAAAAGTCTTTCTTCTCCACAACAATCATCAGTAAAAGTGAAGAGTAAATGATAAATCAAGAGATAGTGATCAGATCACCGTCTGCTGGAGCCCGGTGAGATAAATCGCCTCAGCGCAAGGCGCTTGGCCGGGGCAGAGAGCACGAGTGGTGACGTCGACGAGCACAGAGACGGTCATCTCCTCCGCGATCCAATGTATGCAGAGCGGGATCAGGAGGTGGACCAGCGGTCTCAAAACCCTAACCTCCCCCAAAACCATTTTCTCCCCCACCTTTTTTTTTTTCTCTCTTCTTTTCCTCCTAATTTTTTTTTCAGCCACCTGCGGAGATAAACCTCGGCGTCCGTGTTTTTAAGGGCGAGGCCAACGCGCGCGAGCACGCTCCGTACGAACTCCCACGTGTGGGATGTCGCCATCCCGCGCGCGCTCGCTCGTGTCGGACGAGGGAGCCGGTGACCAACTCGATTTTGTATGACGCACCACCAGAAGGTTGTTGCGTATCGTGTTAATAGATTGGGTTTATGATTGAGAAAATCCCACACTGCGTACACTTTCTTTTTACTGGGTTTTTTTTTTTCCGCTCCCCCTCCTTAGATTAGCTTGTATTATTAACCTTGATAGGCACTTGAAGTTGGGATTGGGATCCTCTGCTGAGACATAGTGCCTCCTAATATCTATTAATGCATCTTCACCTTTTATTTTGTGCATAAACACAAAATACGAGGAGGTAGTAGAGGATCCCAATCCCTTGAAGTTGAGCCAATTTAATTATCTTTTTAAGTTTCAGATAGCATGTCCAAACGCCGCTCATCTACAACCAATACAAGGTCTTGGAGTATCAAAGGTGCAACCTCTCCCGAACACTCATTTGCGGGCTGCTCTTAATCCATACAGAGAGTTT